CTTATAAGTGGGATCTTAACATTGGGTACTCATGGACACAAAGATTGCAACAGCAGACAATGGGAACTGCTAGAGGAGGGAGGGAGGGAAAGGATAAAGGGTTGAAAAACTAACTATTGGATAGCCTGCTTACTACCTGGGTGACAGGATTAATCATACCCCAACCAAAGTTCTTTACAACCCTAATATCATATATTTATTCCTTTAAACTGACTCTCCCTTCCAACTTCTGAGTATGGCAATGGTATCATTGCCATTACCATATTCAACTGAAAACATCTCATCCTTACTTCCCATTCTCACTGTCAATTCCCTAACCAGGCCCTTATCATTTTCTGTTTAGATTACTCCAAAATACCCCAATTTGGCTGACCTGACGCTAGTATCTCCCCACTTCTATATATCATGCCCAATGTATCTTTCTTAAATGTGGCTTATTTTCATACTTTATTCCTTTGTTCTAAAATGTATTTCTAATTCCCAGAGCAGTAAGTCTAAATTGCCTGTCATTCGAGTTATTCTCCAACATTATATATTCCAATCCTCTCTTCAATATACCTCTTACATAAGACAGTCTGAATGTTTCACTCTTCCCAGACTCCATGCACATTGCTACCACTCCAGCTTTCCACATGTACCCTTCATGTGAATTATATATGGTTATTCATTTTCTGCCCAGATCTCAATTCCTCTTTGAATCCTTACCTATCTAATTTATTGCAACATTTGTAACTCCTTCATCACTTTCACCCATGCCCTAGTCTCTTTTTCAGTATGCTCTGTTAGATATACTCTCCCTTCTTTCAATATGTTTTTGAGTTAACTCTCATATCAGAAATGATCTGAACAACCAGTTACTACAAAGCGTGGAAAGATGTATTTTACTCATTACAAAATCATGACTCAGAGATTTCTAAAACAGACTTAGTAAAGAAGATATTTCCAAGGCAGGGTGACTTTTCTGGTGTCTTTCAAGGTTACTTATTTATTTATTGAAAATCAATGGCTTTCAGAAATAGATGTGTTGATCTGTGCTGAGACAACATATCCAAATTCAACTGGAATTGAATTAATGTCAGCAAGGTGCCTTAAAAAGAGAAAGAAGGCATTGGCTTGGGAAACAGGAGACTTGTGTTCACTTCTAGGCCCAACACTGTCACTAGCTGCATGATCTTGGACAACTCAGTGAATCTGTCAAAATATGTTTTCTGAAGAGTACACCATTAACTAAGGAGCTAAGAAAACAAATTTTCTGAAGTGCACTGCTACAAGAATGTAACAAGTTTGTAAAAGAAGTTGTCAGGCAATACATAGTGAGCTTTGTAATGTCTCACCATCAAATTTCTGTATATAATTGTACTATAGTGATAGCCTATCAAAAATCATGGAACTTCAATTTGTCTTTTAGAAACAAAACAGCTTAAAGAACAAATAAAGATATTCATGTAGATTTCCAAAAACTGGTTATCCATTCATTCAATAAGTATTAATTTAGTGATCAGTATGCTAGGCTTTGGGGATGTGCAGTGAAGACAAATATAATAAATATTATATCTGCCCTCAAAGAGATCACTGTCTAAATTGGGAGACAGACAATTATAATAAAGGGTGATAAGTTCTGCAATGGTGGTAAGCACAAAGGAGGCCTCTGGAGCACAAAGAAGAGGACAAATCTGTTCTAAACTAGTCTTTTGAACAGACAGTTGATTAGGCAAGGCTTTTCCTGCAATAAGTGACTGCTAGGCCTATAAAATATCCAGGAATATTATCTTAGTCTTACTGGGCTACTGTAACAAAACACCTTTGACTAGATAACTTATAAACAACAGAAATGTATTTCTTACAGTTGTAAAGGCTGGGAAGTCCAAGATTAAGGTGTTACCAATGTCTGGGGGAGTCGTACTTCCTCATAGACAGTGCCTTCTCGCTGTGTCCTCACGTGATGGAAGTGGCAAGGCAGGTGTTTGGGGCCTCTTTTATAAGAGAACTAATCCCATTCATGAGGGCTCCACGTACATTATTTAATCACCTCCCAAAGGCCCCACCTCCTAATATTATCATATTGGTGGAGAGGTTTCAACATAGGAATTTTGGAGAGACACAAATATTCAGACCATAGCATTTACCAAATAATTTTAAAAAGTTAGAACAAAAATCCCTGAAGGGATTTGCAGATGTTTTGATACTGTGGTATAGTGGTTAAAAGTACAAGCTCTGGAGTGTCAGCCTGAGTTAAAATCCTAGATCTGCAAATTGCAAATTAACTTGGACAAGTTACTTGAGGTCTTTGGACCTTGGTTTCTCATTTTAAAAATCAGTACAATTCATAAATGTACCTCACAGGTTTGTTGTGAGAATTAAATAGGTTAAAACATGTAAAATTCATAGAACAGCACCTGGCAAAGAGTAAACATGTCACCCTGCACACTTGAATGTCAATTCCAGGAGTGCAGGAAATCTAACTGTTGAATTACTAGCCTTTAGTAAGTGGCCCATACCAGGCATGGCTGAATGAATGAATGATCATCAATTTAACTTTTTTTTTTTGTCATGGGTATAATCCTAAGAGGTAAGAAGGTTGAATAATCCCAATTGTTTTCATTGTTGCCTTAATATAGGCCCACAGAGTAAAGGAGGGAAAGGAATTAGGCAACCCAGCTATTCTACTTTAAAGTTAGACTTTAAAAAATAAAAGGGCTTCAAATTGAAATCATCTGTTGCCTCTCCTATGGGTTACATTAGAGCAAGAACAATTTCTTAACATTCATAGCTACTATTCATGGGGTGCTTGCTATATGCCAGAGAGGTGAATTGAATTGCCTAAAGTGAGGTAGCTCCCAGGTTGAGGAGCAAAAATTTGAACCCTGATCTGTTTGACCTGAATCTAGTTAGTACAGTGCTTGACACATAGTTAATGTGCAATAAATATTTGTTGAATAAGTGGGTGAATAAATATATCAGCAAGTATATTTTCTTCTGTAGATGAACCTACAGTTTAGCTTTAAGGGTTTTCATGATCTTGATAAGCTCAAGCCAATGTTAAGAGTAAGGAAAAGGTATGAGCCACAAAAGAGAATTTACGTAGGAAAATCTCTTTACTAGAAATTCCAAATGGAAAAAGAGAGCTGGATTTGTTTAGAAGTTACACACACACACATACACAGGCATGCACGCACGCACACACACATATACATATATACGTCATCACAACTGTTTGGAGCACCTTAAACACATACATACACACAGGAGCATGCAGACCCACACCACAACTGTACTTTCTTTAATCTCATGCTTTCTTTTGTCTTCTTAACACATCTGAGAGAGCGTAAATGACAGAGTGTCAGAGTTAGAAAGGACGTTAGCAATTACCTAATCAGATCCTCTCATGTTAATGTAAAAATTGACACTCTAGAGGGGAAGTAAATTGCTAAGGTCACACAAGGAGTCAGAATAAGATTAAGAATCTCAGTTTCCTGACTCACAGTTTGTTTTACTCTGAACTGTCACCATTTACCATCTCAATTTTATAGATGAGGTAACCAAAGCATCCTAAGAATGTTGATGGCCAAGCTCCTGCCACTTGTCCGTTGAAATAGGACTTGAAATCAGATCTCCTTTATTTTAAATATAAAGCTTGCTGTCATCCAAGTGCTTCTGTCTGGATGCCCAGAAGAAAGATCCTTTCCTATTGAATTAAACAGTGGACTGAGGGTAATTTACAGAAAGCTTTGTCCTTGGCTTTAAGAGAAAATGTCCAAGGCTGCTTTATTTTCAGTCCCAGGGAGGCTCCATGAAGGCAGGAATGCTGTCTGTCTTCCTTATTGAATTCACAACACCTAGCACAAAGGAAGGCAGTTAATAAATATTTGTTGTTGAATGCATGCCATGCTAAAGGGAAAGTAGGTTGGGTAATGGTTTCCCAGTGGCAATGGATGGACAATCATTAGGGCTGGAAAAAGTGGGAACAGATGAGGAAAAGAGGTGGGAGGAACCCTTAAACAAAGGAGAAGCTCTTTCTCTTCATCTTATTGAAGCTGCAATCACTGCGCACAGGCTGAGTAGATTGGTAGAAATGTGATTGGCAAACATATTTAAATGAGACCTCCTTAAAATTGTTACTCTCCACCCCACCCCCACGTTCCTTTACATTTTGTTTCAGTCATTACCCAGGGACCGGATACAGAGATTCCTATGGGGAGTTTTAATGGGTCGATTCAATTTCATCTGGATGACGCCACTTAGCCAAGCATTAAGAGCTACAGCTCCGGGAAAGCAAACGACACCGGGGTGGGGGCGGGGGGGAGAGAAGGAAATTATAACAAGGAGCAATAAATCCCTTCTTTCCCATCCTCTGCTATAACCCATTCACAAGACCTCCAGAAATCATCTACATTCACAAAACAGCCAGCTAGCTAAGCTGAAGACACTGCAACCTCACTCCCTGCCCCCACTGCAGATTATATACCAACACACCCTGAGCCATATAAATAATCACACACTGGCGGTATCTATTGCTCCGTTGAGATACCCTGTGTCTACAACTGCAGTTTCTGCTGCTTCGGTTCATCTGTCAGATTGGAGGAGAGGGAGGCCGAGGTGGAGGCGGAGGCGAAGGCAAAAGAGAAGGAGGGGGAGGAGGTAAAGGAGGAAGAAGGGGAGGAGGGAAAGGGGAGGGCAAGAGGAGGGGAAGGAAAATACTGGAGGAGGAGGGGGAAAAGAAACAGGAGGAGGAGGAGAAGGGGGAGGAGAAAGAGGCGGAGGAGGAGGAGAAAGAAGAGGCGGAGGAGGAGGAGAAAGAGGAGGAGGAGGAGAAAGAGGAGGAGGTGAACAACTTACCCTGCTGAGCTTTCTTTGGGGAATACGTGCATCAAGATTTAGATCTGCCTGTAAAATCTATACAAAGCATATGCCACTACAGGTTTGACTCTCCCCTCCCCCGTTTTTTTGTTTTTGTTTTGTTTTGTTTCGTTTTATTTTCTGTTTTCTCTGCTGTGTCAAAGAACAAGACAGAACTATCTCTGTTTCTGGCTCCACTGTCTGCCAGTGAAGGAGTTTTCATTCAGACTTTCGGAAGAGAGGTGGAGAAACCTAAAGACTGAGGAGAAGAGATCCTTTCAGCCAGATGGGGCATTAGTTCTTCTGCTTTTCTCAGCATGGATAAGCCCTTTCCTCAAGGTAAGCCATAGAAATTAGCTCTTTAAAAACCCAGAATTCTTTCTATGCAATGCACAGATTGCCATTCATTCCAGCCATCCTGTGCTGTCTCTGTGTGTGCGTGTGTGTACGCGCGCTTGCGCGCGCGCGCGCAAGCGCATGGATAAAATAAAATGAAAACCCTTTAAATGATATTTAAATAAACCAGCTCTTGCAGAAAACTATCCATATTAGAAATGTGTAAATCAAAATAGAACTTCAAAATAATATTTTTGTAGGCGAATGTCAATTTAATTTCTAGCCTGTTAACCTTTAAATGCATTTTGGTACTTGCCTAAACCCTTCAAAACGCAGCCTAACCACCCAAGCTGAGGACAGAGAAAGAGCCCGTGCTAAGGCCAGTCTGGCTGCCCAGCGGGCATCCTGTCAGCATGGGGCTAGCCTGCTATTGGCTCACAAGTCTGGGCTGTGCATCGTTCAGATTTCATCACATCACCTTGCCCTGGGTAGACATGGCGCAAGCTAACACGGCATAACCCCCCACTTACATTGAGTCAGAGCAGTGATTTAGAAATCTCTGGATCCGTGCCTGGGTACGTGTGCACATGTCGCTGTGTGGCATATGGAAATGTTGTCAAAAGTGAGAACCTATGAGCACGTCTACTTAGCCAATAGGCATTTGATACGACCTAGGGCAATGGTTTACTGCACACTCACTTCCATGAAGCTAACTAATTATAATTATCATTCAACTCTGCATGCTGCAAACCAAGTTGGATGAACAGAAAACAGACCTTGAACTCTTAAGCAGAAACTCTATTTTGAAATGGAAACTATTGTTGCTTTTCTGGGAATATTAAAACCTCACTGTATCATGATGTGTTATCACATGAATTTGGATATACCAGGTGTTAAATCATGTTTCCAAAAAGTCGACTGCATTCATAAATACAAGTAAGGCACAGGCTAGCATTTTATCCACAATGAAATATTGGTCTTGCTCTCCTTGCCTGTAAACAAACATGTACAAATACATTACTATAACATTCTATATATTTGTCTCTTTGTGTTCTGTTTTTAGGTCTCTCTAGCTGTGAAACAGTCTAGATAGTGATCTGAGTGACTTAGATTTGAAGATATTTTTTAAGAGTTGAGGAGTTGAGTAGTGAGGAAGTAAAGAACCAAAAGGAAAGGAGTCTAATTCTTCCTTAAAGACTATTGAAACAGAGAAATGCAACCAACACACCCAACTTAAAATTTAGAGCATCTGGACAAGAAAGGCCTTTAAAAACCCTCCTTTTATTTTGCAGATGAAGAAACAGGACCAGAACGGAGATCATTTGCCTACAGCCACACAGCAAAGTAGAGCTAGCATTAGGACTAGAACTTAAATTTCTTGTGTCATGTAAAAGGATTTGAGTTTTTTAAAAAAATTCCTACTTCTTAAATGAACAACCAGCTTCTTCTTAGACTTTTCCTCAGGATTAGAAGTATGTGAATTCATTTGGTATTACAACTTTTCCCTGTATCATTCATCACTAAAAGACCTATATCTTTTAAAATTCAAGGTCTTAAAACTGCAAGACTCCCTGGTTTGAAATAAACTGCTATGAGTCTTAATGAAACCATTAAAGTAATGAATAGGACTAGGGTAGCAAAGTGACAAGTTAAGAGTTAAATGTGGTGAGAACCTGGCAGCTCCAACAAGATGTATGCGGTAGGAGGGAGGCCCAGTCAGTGGCAGAGAGGTTAGTAATGTAAACTATATACAACTTGGTATTTGTAAGGGGGGAGTGCTTTGATAGAGATGCAAATGCTTTTGCACAGAGAGGGATTTTTAGAGAGCAGACTTTGGAACAGTAGAACTAAGAAAACATATAAAGCCAAAGCAGAAATTCCCCCTATGTTTGCTTTCAGTTATTCTGAGAAGGAGTGTATATAACAGAGCATAGAAAAAAGCAACACACCTAAGAGCCGTTACACAGTAAGGTACAAAACAGCATTGAACCCACGGGAGTGGGAGAAAACAAGAGCCAAGATCTCCTCTTCCCCACTCTTCTTTGAAATCAACATTGAGTCATACTGTATCAGAAAGGATTTACCATAGAAATCAGAACTGTCTTAAGGTGTTAGCATAGAAGGGCTTTCGATAGGAAAGTTTTCAACTTTATTCTCAACATGGCAGATTTTAGGTTCCAGGGAGAAAATACATTTTCTTTCATTAACAAACATTAGCATTTCTTGAATGGGCTTAGCTTTCTAGTCCCTAAATTGGCATAAGAAAAGAAAATTTTTTTAGGTTGAACATGGCAAATTCAGGGCTACAGAAAAACTGTTTAGAAAGCTATGAGCACCTGGCCAGAGAGACTGTGATGGGAGTGGGTTTACAATGCATCATTCATTACTGCAGAGGCACTACGTGACAAAAATCACTAGATCCCATCAATGTGCAGCCAAGACCTGTAGTCACCTTTGCTCTTATTTAATAATATGTGATGTGTACATTCTCTCTCTCTCTCTCTCATTCGATAGAATATGGAATTGGCCAACTGCACAGTCAGTTTCTTAACTGTTGCTACTCACAATGAATGGCTCTTTAGTGGGTGGATTTCTGAATCATAAACATTCATGTAGTGGTAGTTTTTCATCTAGCCTATGTGCTACAGCAGTGTCTTGCCTGTTCCTTTCTCAACATATTTTTCTCTCTTACCTTCCTGTACAGTATCTATTTCAGTTCATCCTGTTAGCCAGATCAGATTCAGCACATCCTGAATGGCAACCAATTTATTGTCATTCAATCCTTAAATCCTACTCAACACTCTGATTTTATTCAGGTCCTACTGTCCACTTATTGCAGGTCTTCCACATTAGATCCCAGAGTCCATTTGAATAAAAGATTCTACAGAGCAGGAAGAAACCTTCTAAGTTCATCCTGTCAGTCCCCTTACTTGTAGGCAAGACAGTACATCATTATTTCAGACTGATGCCCACAGCTTCCTTTAATCATCCAACCAAGCATCTCAATTTATCAGTCTTGCAGAAATATAATCAATATTGAAATACAACTTTTCAACCTAAACACCATGTACCCTTCTGCTCCCCTTTGAACATAATTCTCATTATTGTTTCAGAGTCATTTATATTATGACCTAGATTCCTCACAGATTAACTTTCAACCTTTTGGGCATGTCCCTGAGGTACCTAGTGACATCCCTAGAATCCTGTCTTTGGAATCTCACCTGTTTATCTCCTGTAACTTTAAGATCTTGTATACCTTCCTTTAAATTATTGCTTCCTGGAATTTTCAATATGTTTTGAATCTAGTTTCTTTTGGGAAATCAATTAGTCTAAACTGCATTCAGCATGTATATTATTGTTCTTACAGTACAAAGGATTTGCAGGGCTCTACATATTCTTTAGCTGATCAATGGGACATAAATATATTTCTCATAAATTTGTCAAAAGACTCTTCCCAGTCCCAAGTTCCTACATCTACATACCCTCCAAGCCATACCCTCCAAGCTTTTTTATTTGGGTGTCTACATGAAAGCTGCCAGTTCCTTTCCAATGCTGAGACTATGAATCTATAAATATACAGCAAAGGTAGAGGTGGCAGGTTGCATGAGCCTTTGAGTGCAAGTAAATAAAGGAAACATACATTTTGCTTTTGAATACCCAAATAAATAAGGGCACATTGCCCACCTTACCCTCAAGGACTTGAAGATATAGAAGATATGAATGAAAAGAAATAGTTTAGAAAATTATATAGTTATAGAAAGAAATACAGACCATAATGGCTCAAGGTCCTTCAAGATCACCTTGTTCACTTCACATATCCTTCAGTTTCACATAGATAGTGAAACTGAGGTCCAAAGAAAGCAAGTGATTTGACAAAAGTGACATAAATATTTGAGTCTGAGAGTTTCCATAATATTTATTTGCATTCTGTTATGATGCATTTATTTAACACCAAAACAACTAGTTAAAGCGTGAAATTTTTGTCAGACTGGTTCTTTGATGTGATATGCCAAAAAAGGCTATTTTTAACCAAATTAAATCTTTTCAAATAATGAACAGATGTAAATTCAGCTAATCAGGTTTGCATGAGGATATAGCCTCAAAAGTCAACTGAGTCTGGTCATATTATTAGCCACTGAGTCGTTTTTCCTGTTACTGAGCTTTGGGCCCATTTCAGTGTCATGTTTGCTTGCTTATGGAAACCTAATCAAGCACCATCCTCTCTCACTTGTTCATTTCTATTACTCATTCAAGCTATCCATCACATACAGTAGTGTGAGTAATTGATCTATTTTGAGGAGGCCTGAAATCTGATGGATCTCAAATATATACTTTATTCATGCTAGTGTTTTGCTAGGTCCTAATGCCTCCAGGATGTTTCCTGGATTTGTGTTTAGGTTTCCTCATTTACATCTCTTTGGCTCTTCAGTCTTCTAAGTGGTGTGATACAGCAGTCTACTATTTGTACAATATTTTCCCCATGGTCATCATCATCAGTTCTAGGGGTGGTAAAATCCTTCAGGGAATGACCAACCACCTCTTCCTGACTATGGTACAAAGGAAATACAAGCATATACTTTCTAGATATTCAACTTAGCTTAAAGATGGTATAAGAATGCCACTGTCCTTTAAGAAAGTCAGTTTATTGTGTAAGGTAGTGATACAGAAAAGAAGTCCAAGCAGATTCTGCTTGGTAAATCCCATCAATATGGAGTTGACTTAGGATAGTAATAGGTATAATTACAGATGATTTTTGAAATAATTCAGGACTTGTCTTCTATAGTTCCTTGATCCCCAGTATTAATCCCATGTGTACGAAAGCTTGATTCTAGAGCCTCCATTCTATTTAAAAAGAATCACTTCCTTAGTAAGTTAAAGCAGCCAGTAAGGTGAGGAGAACTGCAAGATGATTAGTCTTGGCTTCCTTATACTCTTGGGAAGCCTTTTTTTTTTTTCTCCTACACTGCAGACAGCTTAATTCCTACCCTCTGTGTGTTTGCTGTATCTCTGCCTTTATTGCATTCTCCTTGCTTGCCTGTATTCACTGAATAAAGTAATGTCCTTTCTTATCTGTGTATTACTGCTTATCATAAATTCACACTGAAAAGATAATTTTGATTGGTTATATATATATATATATATATATATGAGCAACTTCTCATGGGAGACTTTTGAGGCTTTCTCTTTTCCTTCAGCATTGCTTCAGAAAATAGCCTTTGCATGTAATACTAGGTTCCATTTGTATTAAAATTCTGATACCCAAGGCTTGGATGTCTCTGCTAGCAAATACCTGAATGAGCTAGCTGCTCCTATGAAACTAGGCATTTGATGGAATACAAAAAGAATCAACTACCTGATCTTTGTTCCCAAACTTCTTTATAGTCTGGATGGGATGATCAGATTGGCCTATAAAGAAGTAAGTGAGGTTAATTACAGAATAAATGTGTAGCATGAAGATTACTATAAAGCAATTGAAGGTAGCGGTGGTGATAGGGCCTGAGCTTTGTTGGTTTCTTGCAAAGTACTTATGCCTGTGTGTTCTCATTTACTGTTTTTATGCCTTCTCTCCTAGGATTTTCTCATGTGCCCTGAGATCCATGTAACTACAAGGGCTCCTCTTTATCACCATAAGTGCCACCCTGGCTTAAAACCACTCAGAGCTTAAAAATCAAGGCAAAATGGATGCTGCGGTGACAGATGATTTTCAACAAATTCTGCCTATTGAACAGCTGCGCTCTACTCATGCTAGCAATGACTATGTGGAACGGCCTCCAGCCCCCTGTAAACAGGCCCTCTCAAGCCCTTCCCTTATTGTGCAAACCCACAAGTCTGATTGGTCTCTGGCTACCATGCCTACTTCTCTCCCCCGTAGTCTCAGCCAGTGCCATCAACTGCAGCCCTTGCCTCAGCATCTGAGCCAATCTAGCATTGCCAGCTCAATGTCTCATAGCACCACTGCCTCTGATCAAAGGCTCTTGGCCAGCATTACACCCTCACCTTCAGGCCAATCCATCATCCGAACCCAGCCTGGAGCAGGGGTCCACCCAAAGGCTGATGGTGCTCTGAAGGGAGAAGCTGAGCAATCTGCAGGGCACCCTAGTGAGCACCTCTTCATCTGTGAGGAGTGTGGGCGCTGCAAGTGTGTCCCCTGCACAGCAGCTCGCCCTCTCCCCTCCTGCTGGCTGTGCAACCAGCGTTGCCTTTGCTCTGCTGAGAGCCTCCTCGATTATGGCACTTGTCTCTGCTGTGTCAAGGGCCTCTTCTACCACTGCTCCACTGATGATGAAGACAACTGTGCTGATGAGCCCTGCTCTTGTGGGCCTAGTTCTTGCTTCGTCCGCTGGGCAGCCATGAGCCTCATCTCCCTCTTCCTACCCTGCCTGTGCTGCTACCTGCCTACCCGTGGATGCCTCCATCTGTGCCAACGGGGCTACGATAGCCTCCGGCGACCAGGCTGCCGCTGCAAGAGGCACACCAACACTGTGTGCAGAAAGATCTCTTCTGGTAGTGCACCCTTCCCCAAGGCCCAGGAAAAGTCTGTATGACCTTCCAGCAAGGTGGATCCAGAGCTTTTCTCCTTCTAGCCCCCACCAGTAATGCATAGGCCTCATCTTTGGAGAGGGAAGGAGTGACAAACTAGCCAAAGTTAGGGCCTCTCCTCTTTTGTTCCGGCAGTGTCAGGGGAATGACCAAGTACATCCTGGTGCAGGATGCCTTGTTCTTTCTCACAGTATCTATCCCACTCCTCTTTAGTCTTTACACCCTGCCGGCTCAGCCCTTATGGTTGTCATGGCAAATTCAGGTGATATATGGGTATGAGGTTTGAACACTGAGGACTGACAGGGCCAGCAACGTGGAGGTTTAGGGGCTCCCCAGTGTAATACCTCTCGATGCAGGCTCTGATCGTCACTGTTTTCTGCTGTGCCTTTGGAAGCTTTCTTCTAAGATGGTTTTCACAGGTACATGTGGAACAGCGTTCAACCTTCCAGGGAATATGACCCCTTCTCCCTGTTACTGCCCTTCTTTATTCCTCTCTCCTCTTTCATTATTCTGTTCTGTATTCTTTTCACCTTCATTCTCACCCTCTCTACTTTTACTTTTTCTCTTTCTTCCTCCCTTTCTCCTCCCTTCCTTCTTTTTCAGACTGATCCTTTCTCTGCCTGTTTTTCTATCTCATTTGATCTGTATTTGTCTCTCTCTACCTTCCCTCTTTCTCTAACATGTCCAAAAGTGCTGTTTTTCCATAGATGTTTCCTTAGACACCAAACTTTGCTATGCTATAGTATTTACTAATTTTTATTAAGGGAAATGGATTACTGTAATGAACTGATCACTAGCAATAGTCTGTATCCCGATGTGTGTGTGTGCTCACAATCACTCTCACCTGTTTGTGAGCACATGCGGCAAAGTTATCTTATATTTCCAGGTTTAACTAGTTGGAGTTTTTCTCCCTTTCTCAATAATCAACTTATAGTACTGACAGATTCCACTAGCATGCTGAGTAGGACAGTAAATCAGGATGCTCATAACTTTGTATGTCTGACCCAAGTGCCAAAGGCAGACGTGCTTTATAGCTAAATGAACAAAGCAAAGGATACAGAGGTATGTTCTCTCTTAGAAGCTAACTTCCCTGAGACTGCATGGCTCAGGCGTTAATAATGGACATAAAAAGTCATAAAATGTTAGAGCTGGAAGGAATCTTAACTATTAATCTAGTTCAATGCCCATATTTTACAGATGGGAAAACTGAGGCCTGGAGATAGGAAGGGACTTGCCCAAGGCCACACACTGAGTTAACAGCAGAATTGGGACTGGAATATAGGCCATCTGACTCCTAGTTCGGTATTCTTACCCCTGTACCACATTGAGTTATGGGACTTTTTCCTAGGGCTCTATTAACAGTGACAGAAAGCCATTCCCATTCAATTACTTTTCAGAAACCATGCCAAGTTAGTGTGGTGGTCTTTCTCCAGTGCATGGTGGGTAGCTAATTAACTATCAGATGTTGAGGCTGCCCCCAGTGGACATCACCTTTGGCTCTGTCACCTTGTAGAAGCTCAAGTGTGGAAAAGAAAAGCTTAAAGAAGCCCTAACCAAGCTGTATCTTCGCCATTGCATCTACTCTTTGCTGCACACACTGTGCTTGCTCCTGGCTTGTCTGCAATGGCAGCTGCCTGAGAACTTAAATTTCAGCAACAGTGAAAAACTGAGATGAAAGATGTATAATTCAGAGAACTGACTTCTCTCTTAAAAAATACAGAGAGCCTGTGCTGTGAACCCCCTTCAATGGGAAAAAGCTGCAGTGGTGATGGCAGGCTCCTAAAGACTGCTGCTTAAAGACACAAGAATTATACAGTTTCCCTCTATAAGTGAATCCAGAATTCACTGAGGAATTCAGAGATTGAGGGCACTTGCTTGAAATCAAGGTGCTCCAACTTAGTTTAAGACCTCCAGACTCTAACTTTATAGATCATCTCTTTTAGAGTGTGCATGGATGTGTGTTGCAGGGTGGAGAAGTGGGGACAAGTGTATAGTCGTACACAGGGGAAGAGGAGACATCCATGTCCCTTTGTTGGATACATATTACGGAAATATGTGCCGCTCAGTTTTTGTTGGTTCTGAATCTTCCTGAAGTGTACTGACATTTGGGCTACACAGAGCCCCACACCTTCACTTACACCTCCTCTTCTAGAATTGCTTTGCTCTATTTTTGTATATATAAATATGTTATGATGATTATTAATAATGTTAATGATATTGCTGCAAATGGTGCCATATATAAGGTTAGGCTTCTTGGAACATTTATAAACCCAAACCAATACCTGTAACCTCTTATGTTGCTTTCAGATCTTCAATTTTAAGTAACTTTTTAATCTTACAAGTCTGCTTGATTGTACTTTACACTTATCTACCCCTAAAAGCTCTGCCCAGTTCTCTGGGTCAAGCTGGATGGTGATGAGTAGCAACCACACTTCTCTGCTTCTGCCTGAAATGTGCTTAGAGCTCAGTTATCTAAGGATTCTCTGACACTAGTGCATTGTTCCTGGAGCTAAAGTTATTCTATGGATGTTTGCTTATTCGTTTCAGGCCCCAAAATAACATGAGCCCCTCCTCCTTGATAGCTCCTTGATATCCCAATCTTGCAGTCCTAACTCAGGCAAATTGTGCACTGCCAGAGGGGCCCTGGGTTCTGCCATATACCCAGAGGAGCCTTTCTCAGTGTGTTTCTAAATGGCCTTACACTTGGTAGAAGAAATTGAAGGGTTACTCAAATACAGTTGCAATCTGCAATCTGCTGTTGAGTCAGGGCTTTCACTTGTGTCCAAGTTGGCCTGATATGGACTGCATCTGGTTTACATATAGATGGGTCCTGTTGGGGTATGCGCATGGACGTGTGAGTGAGTGTGCATATGTATCCCTTCTGTGATTTTATATATATATATATATATATATATGTAAATATATATTCACACATCTCTATATATTTTAATGTATTGCACATGTATATTTAAAATATATACGAAAGAACTCTAAATCCTGCAGGGAGGCTCTGTTTTCATTATTTTTCTACTTTGTGTCATGTCCTGTATAAACAGGAATATTTAGAGGGTGTTTCCTGCTTAGCATTTTTTTGCAGTTAAATCATCTGTTAGTCCCTAACTCTATTGCTTTCCACGTATTGGTTCCTTGATACATTTCATATGGCATCAGCCAAGAGTTTTCCTGTGGTTCCAGCCCATCTTCCCTAATCACAATTACAATAATAAATATAGTGAACACTTACATAGTGTTTACTATATGCTAAGCGCTATTTTTAGCATATTATTTATATTAGCTCATTCATTCCTCACAATTCTACAACATAGGTATAATTCCAATCTCTATTTTACAGATGAGAAAACTGAAGCACAGAGAGGTTAAGTGACTTGCCAAAGGTGACAATTGTAAACGGTAGAGCTAAGATTTGAACATAGGGTGTCTGACTCCCAGGTCCATGCTCCAGAATCAGATATAGAAGGCTGGAGCACAATGTAAACCATTCTGGAGTAACAAACCTCAAGTGGTGAATAATTCTTTACCTAACTCTGGTCCACCTGCAACCTAGGAGTTAAAATAAGTATGCTGCTATGTTAAGGGTAAAGCAACAGTTACAGGCATTATGTATTAGCTGTCTTGCTCCCAAAATGGTGGCATTACAAATTTTTCCAGTATTCACTTTGAAAACATGCTTGCAGCCAGTTACCATTTCTTAGCTTATGACGTAGAGCTATTAAGGGAGTAGTTTCACTTGTGCCAAAGAGGGTAAGAGTTTATTAGTCTTATCTTTATTGGCCAGGGAAAACTAATTCAATTTTTTTCTGAACAAAGTAGAACTGAGACTGTTTTTGGAGCTTAAGATTTGCTACAGCTGTTAACACTCAAACTTATTGATTATATTGAGAGCAGTCTTCTGAGTCAAATGACCACTGATCCATATAACACCTTTTACCGACAGCTCCTTCACACTGAATCCTTTAACTTTGCCAAAGGACCTTTAAATAACATCTAGTCCAATGTCAACATTTTATAGGTGGAGAAAGGGATGCACAGAGAGGGAAAATAACCTGTCCAAAGTCACACAGTTCTGAAAATTGAGTGGAATTATGACTTTATGCCAGAGTTCCTAATTTCCAGGTATCTTAGCCTCGGTTTCTTAGAAAATAGAATTTGAAGCAAAAGCTATGTACAATCCAGGATAGTATGAGTAAGGAAAGGGCTAATAAGGGAGAGAAGAAAGAAGAACAAATAAAAAGTATGTCACTGAGTTGGCCACAATCTGTTCCTTGGCAAGCTTTTTTTATGACAGAATTTCACAATTTTTTATGACAGACCATGTGAAACTACTACATCTCCATACAGCCCACCTGGCGGAGGAAAGGAGGTGAATTCATCTGCTAGCTCTCATCTCATTAGTCAAATTCTTCCCCATGTGATATTAACCCTTCTACACTTTTGGGTAGTGCGTGGTGGCACTTAAGTATGTACCTTGGCATTTCATGCTTCAGCAGTAATGGGAAGGATTGTAGCTCCACTACAAACAGTAAGGCAAGTATATGAATATAGGGAGATTAAATTTAAAGTGATAAACTAGGGTGGTGCTTTTACCTTATGTCTTTAATCACATTCCTTCAAAGTAAGTTAGAGATAACCTACCACCTTTAAAGTAAATAAGGCTTTATTGTGGCTCTTAGAACTGCACTATGTTTGCCTTCCTGACCCTGTTTATTCCCTAGCTTGCTTTAAAGGGCTTCTTTTTTATATGGAAATTAATTCCCCGTTCAATTAAAGGAGTAACAAACTCTCAAAATATCTTTCTTCTTAATATAAAAAGGAATTTCATATTATTGAACTCCTCAAAAAGCATGTCTAAGTGAAAATATGTATGTGAATGCACATATGTTCTTTTAGGTTCCATGAGCATAATAGCAGGAAAACTGGTCAAGTCAATAAATGCTGGGGAAAAAAATGGCTAAACAAGGTATTCTGTAACATGAAAATAAAGCAATGAGTTGGTTGACTGGCTTTTTAAAAAATATTTCAGCCACTAATGACATGACACAGACACATTCTAAGAATTATACTAGCTTTTATTCACATATATAATAGTTCCCTGTGTCCTATAGATCATTGTCACATAAAGCAAAAGCATTAGTGCCCCATTTGGACCTTTGGCCTAAGGTTTGATAAGATTTTGTAGAACTGAAATTCTTGGTCCCTTTATCCTAGTTTAGGCCCATATCCTCATTTTGACCCTCAAAGATAAGATCATAACACTACCAGTGTTGTTGCTATTAAAGGCCAGGATGGACAAGATAAGAAAAGGCATTTTGGGAACGACACTGACTATTGCTAGGAATCTTGCTGTCATTACAATCCAAGTTATATATGTTTGCTCCCACATGTATTTGTTGGCCCATCTCCTGAAAAAGAAGACAGTAATTCTAACTCACACATTGTCATTCCCAAACTAACCTTTTGACCATTCCAGGTAATAGTCATGTCTCTGATGGTAAAAGACAGAGATGTCAAGGCTCTGGAAGCTCCCAGGTCCTTGAAGAACTAACTAAACTGCTGAAAACAGAAGTGGTAATGTAGGCAAATACCCTGGCTTTATTAATATAAGGCTTTAACATCAAGTCACAGGCATGTTCTCTTACTGTAACAAGATGGGGCTGACCATTTGTGAACCCTGAAGAGTCATTTTGAACCGAACCTATGTCCTAAGGCCTAAAATACTTTGATCCTCATCTTCAAAGTCTTACCACTCTAATAACAAAAAGAAACACTACAAAGAAACTGCAAGGAAAGGGACACTCATTTTTTTAATGTCTACCAATTATTTAGTTATTCATATATGCATTTCTTTATATAGAAAAATATATGAAGTTTCCAAAAGACTCTGATATTCAGCTTTATAGTCTTGGATAGAAAATCATGTGTCCTTGGTTGGGGATTCACACACCAAGGCTTAACAGAATTAGTTTGGGAAATACTCATTTTTATACCAGAGATTAGTTGGCTTAAACAACTTTACTCTGTGAATATTTTTCTTAATGATCCCCTTCCAATGGAGGTGAAGGCCTCCCAAGTAGGTGAAGGCCCCAGGCCTTTCTTAATACATAAACCATATTGAAAGAAAGAAAGAAAGAAAAAACTAATGGGAAGTAATAGTAAATGTAGATCCAGAAAGAAAAACAAAGGTTAAGAAAATGAGATATGTGAAAGAAAAAAGCTCTGTAATCAGTGTGTTTCTCTCACCTAAAACACTATTTACTAACTACTTGGTTCAGTTGTACCCTTGAATTCCATTTTGTCTTTGACTTATATCAACACTCCTCTTTTCCAAACTCCTATAGCTCTTCATCTGGAATGATTCTATAGGGTGGAAGGGAGGAGAAAGGGAGAGAGCGGGAGAAAGAAAGAGAGAGAGAGAGAGAGATGGGTGGAGACTCGGCCTGTCTCCTACAGGTTCAAAGTTAGAATATGCCACTAACACTATGTGCCTTTCAAACTCCCTTCTAGGACATGCTCTGTAGTACTTAGATCTTATATTAAATGACAAGGTTTCTCTCCTTCAGAGAGAAATACCAGACTGGGTTTGTGGTTTTCCCTGGATTGGTTTTTTCTGAGTCAAAGTGGTGTTGTAGAAATCACATTACCCTGAGACCAATTAAATCAGAATCTTTGGGGGTGTTGAGAAATGGATTTTTAAAGTTCCCAGATGATTATAATATGCAAACAGATTTGAGAAAATCCACTCATCACTTTATTCTATAAACGCAGATAGTGAGGCTGAGAGAGGGAAAGTGACTTACTTATAACCACGCAGTGAGTTAGTGACGAAGTCAGGATAAGAATCCAGGTCTGCAGACTCCTAGGCCAGAATTCTTGTCTTTATGCTATACTGCTTCTAACTCTACCGTATTCCTCCTCTGAGCCTTTGCTTTTCTCATCTGTAAAATGAAGATAATAAAGCCTAGAGAGTGTATGAGAATCATTAAAGCAGAAGCATTTTTCTTAATGTACAAGGTTCTATACAAATGCAAGGGAATTAATGTATAACATATATGTGGGGCTGAGTCTCTAAAACAACATAATAAAAGTTGTTTTTATTTTAGTCAATCATTTCGGTATTATGTCTACCTGATAGCATATAACAAGATTGAACACTTGTGTAGGTTGTATGTGCCTTTAAACTGAACTTGGCCTCAGTGACAATCAAAATTAGCAGTTGAAGAAAGAGGTCATACATTTTTCTCTTGCCCTTGCTGGAATAGGGATCAAGAGGAATATAAAAGCAATGGAATACCTGGATTTCTTATATGCAGTCAATCACAACATGGCCTTAGTGCTGAACTAGCCCAGGGTTTCTATGGAATTTGTAGATCCCATTCCTGAGGCTGGTCCTGGTTGAAGGATGTCTCTTTTGAAAGGCAGTACCCATGGAAAGCCAAGGGGGAGGGTTGCCCACTAGGAGGAGCTTCTTTAGTAGAAACCAGAATGGAGGAAAGGGGCTTTCTGACTTGGCGCATCCGAAGAAATAGATTATTTGAGGATCTAGTACTCCCAGAATAATCTGTAACCATAAGAAACACATTTCCTGAACTCCAGAGCCCCAGAACAGGGTATCCATATCCAATTCCATCCTATCCATCCTGGATATTATGAATTTCCAGAGAGGGCCACTTCTACTCCCCTAGGAGTCATACATCTGGCTACTTGTTTATTTGTTAAAAATAAAATTCTATGCCATTTATAAAATGGGCCTCTTATGTCTTCCTTATTTTGAAATTATAATATACATTCCTAATTCATCATTCATTTTTGCCAATGATTTTAAAGTATTTATTTGAAAGTTATTTTTAAATACAAAAATATGTGTATTTAATAAAGCACTTCTTTATCCTCTTATCTGAACCATACTAAAAAATGTAAAACATGCCATGATTAAACTAGATAATTCTATATGTCACATTACAAGTAAGTTTTAAAAATCTATTTGGTAAATATATTCTCATTTCATCTTGAAATACCTGCCTTTTAAGGGGAGGGTAGAGAGACAAGGAATTAGTGTAAATCAAGAGGCCTAAAAGTATAATGACAAATATTTATAATTCAGATTCATCTCAGGGGTTTCCTTTCAGGTAATTAAGAGGTGATGACCTATGTTTAGGAAAAATTGGGTTGTTTAGAGGCCATGTAGGGGCCTATGATTTCCTAGCAAATATAGACCCAAAGAGCTCCTTGCTAGTAATTATACTGCCGAAGAAGTTCTTGTACTTTGCCGCACAACAATTAACACAAGAGCCTAGGTATGAGCTGCATAAAGTGCAGGTGGACAGAATGAAAAATCACACTCAATCTGTAGTTCTGAAGGAAGGGTCAAATTTGGTTGGGGTAGGTGTTAATAGTTGAAGAAACTGAAATGTATTTCAAGAGCACTTCAGATAAACAAGATGGAGACTGAAGCCAAGAAGGAGAATAAAGAGTAATTACTGCATAAGAGGCTAGAGCATACCTGAAGTCCAAAAGCAGCACTGAATTTAGAATCAGAAGATACAAATAATACACAAGAGAGGGTGCAATGCAGGGAACCATGCTTGATGGGTTTCATCTAAAGGATTGTAGCTGGCTCCACCTTTGACAAGTTAGCTTTTCTGTGCCTGGTTTTGAACCCAGGAACCATGACTCTAAAGATTTTGTGCTCTTAACTACTGCAATCTCCTTTTCAGTATAAAAATGGCTATGTTAATAGGATTGTAATACGTCCCGATTTGCCCAAGACTGTCTCAGCTAATATCTGTTTCTAAAATATTTTTAATAATGCCTCCTTATACTCTGAGCATATCTTAACATGACTTATATATAATTTTCAACATTATGTTTAATCCCCAATTGTTTATTATCCATCAGGCCCCCCAAACTCTGACCTCCCTTGTTACCCAGATTACATTCCCTCTCTCCCTCTAGCATACTTGCCTGACAAAATCTGAAACTTAAATATAATCACTTGTTCCACATTTTCATCTAAACGGATGAATGTGATTGGAGAAAAACATAAAACGGTAAATTCAAGCGTGCCCTCAGTACCACCAGGTATTTCTACTTTATTTCTCTCTTCAGTTTATTTTCAAATCGACTCTTTAAAAGGACTGCTTCACACTTCTCTCTCATCACACCTCCAATACCCCACTTCCTCCATGCCTCCACTCCTATCCTACAACCTTGCAATATATCACTGGGAAAATAGCCTTTTCTTTTGAACTCACTCTAGCCAAGCTTTTAAACCAATCCTCCACCAAAATAGCTCTTTTCAACGTCACCAGTGATCCTACCTTGCTAAATTCAATGGTCAGTTCTCAGTCATCTCATTCAGTTTATCGCTAGCATTTGTCCCAGTCCATTTACATTAACAGCTTCCCCCACCTGAGACAATGACCTGCATGCAGTTAGTTTATTTGAGAGAAGTGATTCAGAAAATAGGAGACGGGACTGAGAATGGTGAGCCAGGAAAGGAAGGAACATCAATCCAAGGGCATGTTATTGATCTGTTTACTACTATAGGCAACTGAGGATTATTGCCACTGAGGACTCTCTAAGGAGCCATGTAGAATGCACCCCAGAATTTTCCACCAGACATAGAAGAGGAGAGTGTTTTTCTATCAAATCTCATCTCCCATTAATTAAGTGTAATCCTAGAGGGTATTTACTTGCAAGTTGGCACATGATTTGGAATCACTGAGCAGGGTCCTTCACCAAGTGATTCACATGGTGGTGTCAAAGAAGCCCCGCAGGAAGCAATAGTATGAGATAAAGCTGAATGAGGTAGCATCAAGCTACACCTGCATGTAGTTACTGCAGCATGGCCTGAACAAAAAGGCAGTCCATATTGAAATATATTCTTTATTTGGCTTCCAGCACACCACACTCTGCTGATTCTCCTCTCACCCCATTGATCACTCCCTCTCCAAGTCCTTTGATAGTTCTTCCTCATTTTCCTGAACTGTAAATATTAGTGTACCTGAAGTTTCAGTTCTTAGTCCTCTTCTCCATCTACACTCACTCTCATGGTAATCTCATCTAGTATCCTGGATTTAAACACCATTTATGTACTTACAACTCCAAAACTTATAGCTCTAGCCCCAATCTCTCCCCTGAATTCCAGACTGCTCACTTAAAATCTCTACCTACAAGCTTAATAATAATATAAAACAACATATTTAACAGATAAATTTTGATTTCTATGTCATTCAGTTTTCCCCCACCTCAGTAAATGATGATTCTATTCTTCAGAGACTCAAGCTGACCATTTGGAGGTATCCTTCACTTCTATCTTTTTCTCATGTCAATTGGTCAGCAAATCCTGTTGGCTCTACCCTCAAAATATATCCAGAATTTGACTATTTCTCAGTATCATTACTGCTACTACCTGTTCTGATCTACCATTATCTCCTCCCTCGATAATTGCAGCAGCTCCCTGATTCCACTAATCCCAAAGTCTAATCCCAACAGAGAAACCACGATGATTGTTCTGAAGATGAAGGCCAGATCTTGTCATTCTTCTGCATAAAATCTTCCAGTGATATTTCAATTAACTTAGAACCAGACTCATCTAGTTACAACTATAAGGCCCTACATACTCTTCCCCTCCTATTTACATGGCCAGCTCTCTCATTTAATTCAGGAGTTCACTCAAATGTCACTTCCTCAAGGAGGCTTTCCCTGAATACCCTAAATCAGCATTGCTCATCATTTTATCCTCTTGTTTTGGTTCATTTTCCTTCATAGGAATTCTTACTACCTAATTATATTATATGTTACTGTTGAATAAATAAATGAATATGTGGGAGTTTAAATTGGAACAGTCTTTCTTGAAGTCATCAGATATTGATCCAATGTTTCTTATGTGCCAGACAGACATTGCTCTATGTACTGCTCCACTCTGTTCCTTCCCAAAACTCTTCTCTTGCCCCTGGAACCTCTGCTTCTTTCAAAACACCAGCAGAATCTTTCCTCTAAAGTGATGCCTATCATGATTAGAAACCATACAGTTATGCTAGCAAGAATTATTATTATTATGCTAGCAAGAATGCCAATTATGTAAAAAAGGCAGGTTCACTGGGTCTCTTTACTGTAAAAAATACCTCTAGAAGAATACATTTGGAAACAACTACCATATGAACATAAGAGATAACAATTATTGAGTTCCTACTATGTTTCAGGCATAAAATTAACATTTAATCCTCATGACAACTTTATGATATAAATATTTTATCACTATTGAGAATGGATGTGGAAACAGAGGCTTTGGAAAGTTAAGTTACTTGCATAAGGCAATTAAACTAACAAGTGAAAAGAAGTTCTAGGATTTAAAACCAGGTTTGTCTCAAACACCGTGTTCTTTGCACTCTTCAATACCACCTTGTTTGCTAATTATATCAATTTAGAATGTGTGCATGAAAATTAAACATGCATTTTTAAAATTTTTACTAGGTCTATCAGCAGCTTTCAACATAATTGACCCTTCCCTCCTTTAAGTTCTTCCCTTTTGTGGCTTCAATTAAACTACATTTTCCTGTTTTCCCTCCTAATTATGTGGTTACTTCCCAGTCTCTTTTTCTAGGTTTTTTTCCTCTATCTGGCCTTTAAATATTGAAGTACTCAGGACTCTTCCTATCCCTTTTGTTTTACAAGTCTACACACTTTTCCCAAGAAATGTCATCCCAAAACTCTTCCCTGACCCCCAAGAACCATTTCTTCATTTCTCTACTTCTGGAATTTACACTCTTATGACTTCAACTATACTGATAACTCCCACATTTGTATCTCCAGCGCACACCATTTTTCTAAGCTCAGTGCTATATCCAGTTGCATACTCTATATCTACATATATTATAGATACCTCAAGTTCAACATATTCAAAATTGAACTAATTAACTTTGTTCCTCAAGTCGGCTCATCTTTGATGGTTCCCAAACTCAATAAATGTTATTAGCATCTACTCAAATGCTCAAGCCATAAGCTTGTGAATCTTCCTATCTTCATTCTCTTCATCTCCTATATGCAATGAATCAAAAAGTGCTGACAATTCTTCTTTCGTAAGAATCTCTCTAATTAATTAGCTTTTCTACATCTCCACAATCATAATTAACCAAAAAGCTATTAACAATGCCTTATTGTATTGCTCCAATAGCTCCTTAACTAGTTTCCTTACAAAACCTTTTATCCCCACTCCAATATTTTCTCCACATAGCAAAGAATAATATTTTTAAATGTAAATTTTTTAATGTAATTGTCTTACTCTCTATTGCTCTTTGTAGTTCCCCAATTATTAAATCAAACTTCTTAATATTGCCAGGCCTCTGTCTACTTCTCTCCTACCTTATATTCTACCTTCTCCCCCTCACTGTAGTCCAAGTATACTGTCCTTTTCTCATTTTCTTAAACATGCAAAGTTTTATCCTTCTTCAGGTAATTTGTCTATATTGGTCTATCAGAGCAAACCCCTTTACATAGCTTACCTCTGCTCATTCTTTACATCGCTTACCCATCACTCGCTCAGGAAAACCTTTTGTTTTGGTCCCTTGAAGACTAGATTATGTCCTTCATTATACACTTCTACAGCACTTGGTGCTATCTCTGACTACACCACTAATTATTTAATTACAGATTTATTTCTGTCTTCTGCTAAAATATAAACTTTATAAGGGCAGGAATAATTATTGTGTTGTTAATTCCTGTATGTTCACTACCTGGCATAT